CTCAGAGTCACCTGTCAAGGCGCAATTTATAAACCTCTGGGCTTCTCCTGCGTCGCCCTTCTTATCGCTGACGTTGATCGGAAAAGATTCTTTAAATTCCGAGACAATTAAACAAAAAAAATACAGCGCAACTTTGCGCGGGAATAAGACCGGCTGCTTTGGAAGAACGCATATTTCGAGTTTCACGAAAATATATATCGGGCGCGGAGAGAAAAATTTCAAATATACGGGAAGAAAGAGAGAGGAGGGAGAGAGAGGGCATACTAACAATGAAGTCGGGAGGAAATGAAAATGCAAAATATGAAGCGAAGTAGGTAATACGTAATATCCAACGTGTGCTTATCGTGGATATTAATATTCATTACGGAAATATCGTCGCGCGCTATTTCATCTCCATGGGATTTCTTCCCTTCCATTCACAGCGGCCGCGCGAGTTTATTGATCGGAGATGATATTTTTCTTTTGCCGACGCCATTCTTCCGCTCGCTGGATCCGCTCGAATCCAGATGACAACGCCGGATTGTCATCCGTCCGCATTCCGAGCGTGCCGAAGGTCGAGAAGCAGGAAACGCGATTACGATTTCGCGACGGAGAGACGCGAGGAGAAATCTTCGCTTCGGAAAGAAGTCGATCCCGATTTGAACGCGCGCGACACGCTTATCGATACGAAACGTCGCCGAGTCATCCCGCTCGCGCGAGTCGCGCAGCCCGACGACGAAATTCGCGCAAATCGCCGGCATCCCGGATGCGTCGTCACGCATTCCGTCGGTCCGCATCCGCGCGGTCACGCCGTCGATTGTGTCCACGGTCAGTACAATAGTCGCCAGCGTCAGAAAACGTCCGAGCTCGGGCGATTCTCGGTGTGTTTTTTATACCCGTGCCGTGCTTCCCCTTTTCCTCCTCTTTTCTTTTTTCCGCGTCACGCGGAACGTCGCGGAAACTTCACGGATCCTGATTTCCGACTCGCGAAGCAGAAAAAATGCCCGTGCACGGTGGAGGCTGCACCCCGGAAGTACGTCCGTCCCTTGGAGCTACGCATTCGCGTCGGCCGTAGAAATCTCGCCGCGCAGAAGCCGAGATATACAGTTGTTCACATATAGTTTTACGTACGCGAACTGCGAAGTAGGATGAGCCGATGAATGTCGGCGCGAGATGAATAATCACCGATCCGACAAAGCGACGGCGGCGGTGGTGCACGTCTGTTGTGGAAAAGGGAACGTCGGCGATATCGAAACGGAAATATCGTAGGAAAGCGGTCGGTCGAAACGTCGGTCGAGCACCGCTCATTATTTTCACGGACAACTTCCGAGATACTTTCTATTAGTGCTGCCAATATAACTTAAACATTTCTACACTGGAAGAAAAAAAGTTCCACCGTGAAAGCAATATTTATCTGATCCAAGCAAAATGGTTAACTCTGATACTTGGCAGTTATTTATCAGAAGTAGAGATACGATTGAATGTGATATAATATGATGTCTCCTTCAAGTATTGAATTCATAATATTCAGAATATCGGAATTTATTTTCAGAAAATATTTGCCAGACGAAAAATCGAAATTTAAAACCAGTAGGTTTCTTCAGTGAAAAAGAAAAATACTGCATAATTCTGGTACTCTGTCAAATACTCTCTTACATTTGGAATAAAAACGTATAAATTATAAATTATAACCGTACATTTCTGTTTTAATGCGATCCTTTTCGTTTTTAGTCAGTATAGTGTCAGTAATAATAACCTTACAAGCATATTGCTACTGCTATTTTTGCGGTTAAAACCAAAAGAGGGCATAGCTGAAGCCGAAAATAACTACAATTTCTCAGTGCATTTGATTTCGACGTATCCTGAGACAATAACGAAACATTTCGCCATTTATCAAACACTTTCCACCTTATCTCAGTAGTACTTTTATGCGCAGAATGACTCGTGAAGAACAAGTAACAAGAAATCATAACAAGAATAAGTAACCAGATATTCGGCTATTCACAGTTGACACCGTTACTTTCTATCACTCGGAGTCGCGCGAAGTTATTCTCGTTAGCGCGCCAAGTTATCGCGTCTCGACGACGGCATTCGACGCATAATAAACCTCAGCTCTTTTTTACCTTTATCGCTCATGAATTTCCCGATTGCACCGACAGGTTTCAGACGGGGACAGGCCGACAGCCGTTCGCGTCGTAAATAATAATTTTCCAGCCGCGGCCGAGAGGAAAAGAGAGATAGAGAAAAACTATCCTCGACGTGACGAATGCCCCCTTTTACAGAAACGGCTCTCGTAAGATACGGAGGCGTATTCTTAAAGTTCCACGTGTTTCCCTTGCTACCGCTCTATCTATCTACCGGGTTTGTCCGATAAGCAGAAAACTCGGGCTGTATCGATTCACGCGCGGATATATATATATATACACCATAGCTCGATCTCGGCGGGAGAATGGAATTTCAGCCCGCATGATGTCTTTATCACGCACGGGAGAGCGCGCGCCCTCGCGCTATCGGCCCGTACATTCTGCAGATTGAATACCGTCTATTATGCGCAAAGTGCGAGAGAGGAGTTTCCTGCTGCGCCCATATGGCATCGCGCACGCATTCGCGCCACCGCGTTCGCGAGTCGTTTGCATTCCCGGCCTCACTTTGAGCGTGAAACGTCTGTTTAAGCGTGAACGATCGTCGCGCAAATCGCCGGGGCGAGATATTCCGGCGATTCGGCGAGTAACCACCCCACGGTGATGAGCCGATTCGTTCCTCGCGACGCGTTCCGTCGTTCCCCGACGAGTCCGCGTGATTCCCGCCGGCGCGTTCTCGATGTATCATCGGATATGCGTAAATGAATTCGGTGCCTTTAATTCTGCTCATTTCTACACGCTCTCGCAGAGAAAAATATGTGATATTTGCGATCGTAATCGTAATGAACGAGTTATAGTCGGGAGAACTATTTTCCTAGTAAGTGTCACTGATAATCTTATCCGCGTATTGTTACTGGGAATTTTTTTCCGATTGAAAGCATAAAAATGATATAAGTGAGACTGAAAGCGACTATAATTCCTCTCAGTGAGCGAGTGGCAGTCGATCGACTTCCCGCTTCGTTACTTCCTCCCATGGTTGACTGCGCGAACTGCGCGAAGGAAGAGGAAAAGGAAAGCGGGCGAGATGGCGACGAGAGAGTGATCGATTCGCGGTCCACGTACGCGATCCCGGGTCTTGCGTAACCGCTGGCCCGGTTTCGGAAGTGGAGTTAATTGCGCGCGATAAATTATCCTTTCTTATGTGCCGTGTCCGTCTCCTCGATCTGTTCTCAAACGCGGTCTGCCGCCGCTCCCAACCCGGGGGATCCGCACGTTTCCGTTCTATCCCTCGTTCTCCTCTCTCTCTCTCTCTCTGTATGCGCGCGCCTGTCATCCCGCGTCATTCCCATGTCCGCAGTGGCATCCGGCTGCGACTCGTTTTGCATCAACGAACGGCCCGTGAGATTCGCTTGTCGAAGTTTCGCTACCCTACCTCGAGAAGTTCCGCATTTACACCGCGGAATATGATTTCGGTGGCCGTCTCGCGCGTATTCGGCGAGTATACCTCCGAGCCCCGAGCGTCGCAAGAATGTTCACGATCGTGAGAGAAAATAATACTGGTTAACAGAAAAATCGTATCCTGGCTCTAAACCGTCGATTGTAATTAATTTTTGTGGCGTTAAAAATATGAAATAAGCATCGCAGGAGGGAAACAACTGTGTGGGACAATATATTCGGAACCGATGACTTTCGATGCGGTTGCCAGTTCGGCGGAAACCGCGTGTTCCCTCGCGGCGCGCATTCAGCGCATTCGATTCACGCTGAGATCGTCGATCGTAAAATCTTAACGAACGCGTACGCGTCATTAGCTCCTAACTGACTGGCTCTCGTTGTTCCTCGCCGCACGAATGAACGTACGAACGATCTACGAAGGATTTCTGCCCGGATCCGATATCCACACACACACACACACACACACACATTCCAGGTTTCCCACATATTTCTGTCATTATCGTTCTCGTTCGAGCGCGGCGGCGAGCGCATTTTCCATCGCGCCGATCCCACCGCGCGACCCGAGAACCCCCGTATGATCTCACCGTATGTACACACGAGGTCCAATTAGCGTACATCTCGCGTGAAATTCTGATATCCTTGAGAATATAATTAGTGTGTAGTAATGGTGTAAGTCGTGTGAAGTATACACAATACAGGCATAATTGTGAATAGAAATCGCGGGCGCGTGTGTGTGTGTGAAATGAACGGGAAGCCGAATTTGCCTCGAAGTTACTGATTTTCCAAAAACAAAACCGCCCTCGGTAACACATCGGCGTATTTGTCAACTCCGAAGCGCAGAGTCAAGTAGAGGATACTCGGCGAAGCACGTCGTTCTTCTTTATTCCGCGCGCGCTCACGGCTGCGTTCGTGACTACCAGGAGAAGAATTTAACGTCCTCGTCCACGTGAACTTTAAACGTTCCCGTCGTGGCATTTTCAAAACGGCGAAATACGGCGATATGAAGTATTGCCAACCGAATAGAAATGTATCCGGTCGGCCTGAGTCAAAAGCTAGTAAGCTAGCTAATACGGGTTAGATTAAAATTCCCAACTCGTTAGCAGTTCCTTACGCTGATAAAGAATTACAATTAGTTTCGTCGTCAACCTTACACGCGTGTTGCTACTGTAAAATATTTTTCACGCCGAAACCACCTATAATTCTCCATCCGAGTGCATTACTGGCCGGTAACGACGTTAGATACAAATTTACTACTTCGACACCCGCGAGGTTGAATTTCTACCAGGATACCATTGAATCGCCACCGGCAATCCTCTCCGAATCTGGAAGCGAATCCGGTCAAGCGATACGGTCGTTTCATTTCCATCCACGTACCCACGGAAGACCGCCGTCTTATATATCGCGCGAGCCGAGATCAATTCTACGATTACACGCGCGTTCTCGTTCTTTTTCGTTTATTAAGCGAGGATCCTGTTAATTCCCTTGCAGCGTCCGGCTCGGGCTCCGTGATAGGAAGGGACCCGCTTCCGCCGAGGGCCGTCAGCACGTCTCATCTGCCTCAAAGAACGCTGACTCAACCGCCGACGGTGGTGTCTACTCTTCCGTTACCGAGAAGCAGCACCGCCGGCCATCGGCAGCAACCGCTTCCGCTCCATCACTCGACTCCGCAGCACCAATCTATGAGACAGCTGGAGGACGAGCCCGCCACCTCGCAGATGCTTAGGGCCGCCAGCAACGGCGACATCGGCAGAGGAGTGCCCGGCGTGTAAGTAGACGACGATCCACCGCGTTGGCTGCTGTTTGCACAACGCTCGCGGTCGGTGCCTCGGCGCGCATTGTAATTAAACCGCCCGTCGCGTAATAGGGAAACTTATTAGCGAACTCGTACGTCCGACAAGTTCAATCCTGGCGCGCCCCCGCTTTAGTCATTTCGCCACCGGTGACGAGTGAAAATGCCCCCGTGTTAATATACTGACGCTGTACCGATTATAATCCTTCCGTGGAGGCTCGAAATACCTCCGACGCATGCGGTTTAATCCTCGTTATTGCGCTACACTCGGAGAAAAAGGTTCCTTTGGATAAGAAACGGTTTCAAAATTCGGACCGACATAAAATGTCGATACACTGAAAAATTCACTCGGCTGTTCTGTTTAATCCAACTTTTATCTCTTTTAGTTGCGCCCGATATTTTTCTGATTTTAATCAAACTTAAAGGAAATTATTCGTACGTTCTGCCAGGAATATTTTAGATTTTTTTCCCAATGTTTCTCTCACAATAAATACACGAACGGAACACCGTGGTTAACCTGTCTCTTGTGCAAACGTGCTCCGCAGTGTGTCCCTTATTATTTAATACTAACGTAGATACAAAGAATTACAGTATGAAGTAACAGATGTCGAGCGCACTGTTATTATCCATTCATTACGCGCGTTCAGTGGCAAAGTGTTGTGTGCTCAGTAGTATAGCTCCGCGTCCGGCTTGTAGCGAAAGAATCTACAATAGGTGTGAGCACAAGGTGGAAAAGCCTTGAGCTTTTCGAGTTAAGCAATAAGACGTAACGCAATTTCTAGCAAAAAGTATTCCCAGAGCTATCAGATGTCGCGACTCCTAAGTTTTAAGATGTAATCGCAACTTTTGCCAGCGCGGGAAACGCTTTTGGTCAGAGAAGTGACGTTATATTTCATCGCCCGGAGCAAAAGGCTTACCACCATCCATTGCAGATACGGGCTTAAACTTATCCACGCATCAAGCATTCGATTTACATCGGACACAATTTTCCAAATATTGTCCGGGTTTTTCTTATACGGCGAAATGATGACGAAAATCACCCGGCCGACGCGTTCGGCGAAACGGAACGGAGCAAGGATGTCGCGACGTCTAGTTAATCGCCATAGAAGGCCATAAGAGAATGTTCCCGCAACGTGGCGCGATCATATATCGCCATGTTTAGTCCGCGAGCAACTCGTTAACGTTCGCGTCGAGTTCCACCCATTCGTTCGGTCGTCACGCTGCTTAATTACCAGCCGCGTTGTCTCGCTCGCGCAAATAATAAGAACGCGTCGCCGGTCAAATTTCTCAGCGCGCCCTCGACAGGGGTTGCGGCGAAAATGTACCGGGATTACGTAGTATCGCAATTGCACTAATTAGACCGAACACTCCGGGCGCGTGCGAAGGACGATGTCATAATCGACGTGAGAGCCGTTCTCAAGTTCGCTCGGGCTCTATTATTAGCCAGCTACGTGAGTTAAACTGCGTCACCTTGGTAACGTAATTACTCCACCGCGTTTTCGCGCGCGCGCGGTTTACCTTCGCAGTACATCTCATTTCCACCGTCGCCGTCCGGCTAAATCTAATTTCCTTCGTCTAATGTCTTTCGGATGAATTTTTGCCGCGTCGCCCGGGCACGCCCTCGCGTCTCGCCTGCTAGGCATAAAGTTCCTCAAGTGAGAGTCTGGACGAGCCTTACTGATTGGTCTGATATTTGTTCGAAAATGGAAGGACTGAAAATTGTTGAATAAATTGACTTTACTTGTAATTAAATTTTAAATAAACATAAAAATATGCCTGAAGTCAATGTGTCGTAAACACTCTTCATGAGTAAAGACATCCTGGCGACAAGCCAGACGGCATTTTTTATCAAAAAGTCGGAGACGACCAGACTCTCAGTTGAGGAACTGTAGTTATAAGCGACTCTTCCTATCATCAGCTCAGCATTAACGACTTTCGGTGCGTTTATCGTGCGCGTTACCATGCATCGGAAATAGACATTGCGAAATATGCCCGTGAATTATCGATATACCCACTCAACGCGCTTGGAGACAACGTTAAATTAGTAGTGGCGCCGCTTGGGAAAATCTCGTCTCCGAACCTCCATTAGAGGGAGGGTGAGAAAGGGAGAAACGTAATCTGGAAATCGTTATGCCCGGAGTGTTGCTGTATCGTCGTGTTTTCCCATGAACTATTCGGGAAAGGAACTCGATTCTTCGGTCCACTTAAACGAGAGATCGAGTTCCCACATTTTTCTCCTCCCTAAGGACCCGGGACGTTTTTACGACGTGATTTCAGGCGTGGTGAACGATCGGTGACGCCTTCCACGAATCAGTCCGACTGACCTGCTCTCGTCTAATTTCAGGGTTACCGGCAACGAAATCAAAGACCTGAAGTTAGCATCGCCGGTCGGTCATTCTCAGCGATTGATCAGCCCAGTCGGACACTTGCGGGTCGCCTCGTTAAATGACCATCGTGTTTCCAGTCCCAGCGACAGCGAGATACGCGTGCACAGTCCAAGTAAGTGGTTCCTCCTTCCCCCGAACACCTCGCGTCGATCGAACTCGCGTATTTTTGTGCCCGTGATTAGCCGCCGCTCCGTTCGATACTTCCGCGATTTCGAGCGAGATCTCGGGAGATGGAAAAAGAGCGGCCGCCGAGAGAGGAGCGATTAATCGCCCGCGGCGACTTTCCCGGCGGGGAATCCGGCTTTATGAAAGAGCTTCAAGTTTTGCCGCGGAGCGGAGTTAGTTAAGGCGCAATTAATATATTGTCGACCGTAATACAAGTTAGGATCACTTTCGCGACGGGGTGAGTTGAGCGTTTGCGAGGAAGGAACTACGATCCTGCCCGGACGTCATTAAAACAGCGTTTCCGAACGAGCACCGACTTTCCTCTCCTCGTTCAATGTAAAACGCACAGCGAGCGCTTAATTAATGTCGATGAGGGTCGAAAGCGCGCGCGCAAGAACGCTCGCGCTTGTTTTCCAAATCGTCACTCTACGTATGCAGATTAAAGGGGATGCCATATTTGGATACTTTGCCGGCAAAATACTGACTTTTATCCGCAATGTTTACGTCGTATTGATTGCACAGAATTATAAACGCTTTTACACGGTGAAGATAAATTGGAGCATTATTCAATATGCGACGGAAATGAATAAGACAAATTTCAAGATCGACAGCGTAATATTTACCTGTAAATATTCATCTAATACAGAAATCCTGTAGCTTACACATCTCGAATGCGTCAATGCTCCAATCAGAAAATTTTCAAAGAACAAAGAACATTTTTATACAGTTTCAATTAAATTCAGATATCTAAGCAGATACTAGAAATTCGCAGAAAAAAATTCTTTCACGAATCTTGGTTAGATTTTCTGTTAGATATATGATAGAATACAATAACTCACATACATTTATCGCACTCATATTTATATTTATATAAGATTTATATGTACAAAAAATACAAAAAGAATAGCACAATCGTGTCGGTATTTGTCATGGTATTTTTAGAATTGTTTCTATATCATCAATGCTTGTGAAATTCGTCATCGACCGTGACATTTTCTTAATGGCTTTCCCAACTGCGCCATCAATCGACTGTTTCCACGGACCTTCCTATCTCATCGTGTGTGATTATTTTGATTTTTTCTCCTCATCTTTTATGTATTGGGAAGAAGGCCGAGGCGGAGCTGAATACGTAAAGACAAATTTACTTATCTTTAGCCGAGCAGGACGAGGAGCGCGCTTTTAATATCCAAAGTTGACCCGGCTCCGTTGGCTCGTCCGGGACATTCGGTTCGCGCGAACTTAAGAGTGATGAACAGTGCCCGGCTTGGGCGGTGACGGACGAGCGATTAATATCCGCGAGATTAAGCGGCGATTTAACATCTACCTGGGAATCGCGAGATTGCCGAACCGCCGTGAAAAGGACATAAATTTAGGTCGAGAATTTCAGCGAGCCACGAGCCCGGCTTAATTATCCGAGGATTCATGCGGCGTTCCGCCGAACATGTGTGCGTGCGTGTACATATATGTGTGTGTGTGTGTGTGTGTGTGTGTGTGTGCGCCACCCGTCTAATGCACGACGTGGAATAATGGAAATCCCATGTGCACTCGCAGGTGCCCCGCCTAACTCCGCGAAGGCACATACACATACACACACACACACACATACGTAATCGATATCAGGCCTTAGGAAGATCAGCTTCGGGGAACGTACAGCCGAGCTGTGCGGGATGTCATTACGTAGCGAGCGTTGTGCAGTGGTTCGATGGGAAAAAGAAAAGTCACGATCGCGAAATAATTCTCCTCTTTCTTTCTTTTATTTTTTTTTTATTTTCGAATCTCTCTTTCATTTTCCTCGAGTTTTCCCCCCTCTCTCTCTCTCCCTTGAAAAAACACGACGAGTCTGCGACGACAGACATTTGGCCGGAGAAATGAGCTGAATGCCGACGTTGGATAATATACAGAAAAGACGAGTATTACCTTTCTTTTTTTTCTCCGCCGAGTAAAAAGTCAAAGTAATTCCTCCCTCTTTTTCTTCACCCTCTCCCCGAGCGATGCGATTTTCGAATCTCGCTCTGTTTTTGCTTCTTCCTTTTTTACACCGTAAGATACGACACGGGTGGCGGGAAAATTGTAAGAATATATAGTGACTTTATCTCGGGCGCACAGATGTGGAGGATAGCTCTCGGCAAATACTGTCTCCCGAAAGAATGGAGAAAAATCGCCGGCAGCTTAAATGCTACGGTCCACCAAGAAATTTTCCTCGTATTCCCCGCAATCCGATTCTATCCCGTATGGGTACAATAGCCCGCGCAATTTTCCGCGTTAGACGGAAGTCCGTGCCTCTCCGTTTTACGATGCGTCTAACGGTCGCAGCTGCGGAACATTTTTGCTGGCGTCTGAATATCTCGCGCAGCGCCGGGTCCCGGACACCGCTGTTCGTGAATAAAAGTGCTAACTGTTTCGAAACCCGCAGGTTCGTTTTGGACCTTTTCAAGCGACGGGAAAGGCAAAGTAAACGTTTTAGCAAGCGTTAAATCCGGCGATTTAATTACCGAAGGACTTAACGTGAAATTGAAAAATGAGAATGTCAACGCTCCCGTTAAACTTTCCCCGGGAAAATCTGCGGACTTCTCGGAGAATCGGCGGCCCCGAAGAGCGGCAGCACCTCGTGCAACAAATGCAACAACATTGTAACGAGAGTAAGCGTCTACGAATATTCCGGCGAGTCGAAGCGCAAATATAAACGACCGTCGTTAACGTGATTAAGGAGAAAGTCGACCTGCCGGCTGGTTGTTTCAATTCTTTCGCGGTATTCCCATCTCGCCGGTGTCCGCTTGAGTTCGCAAAGTCTGACGGAATACAGAACGGGAAAGAGACAGAAGGGGAGAGGAGGGGAAGATCCTCAGAAGTATCAGCGGTCCCGATAGTTCCAGTCGTATATCCTTCTGCTCGTTACGACACGCACGGAAATACGCGACTTCCTCTTCAACACCCGTTTCCTCCCGCGCGGCTTTCTCTCTCAGTCGCGTGCGCGGACGCGCAAGAAACGTGCAACGGGTAAAATAAGCGTAAGGTTGAATTAACGAGGCACGTTCACAGTTGGACACGTTTTTGCGAAACCAAACGGAATTTCTAATTATTATAATCAAATATTCCGGTGAGTAACCGGAACATGTAATACCGGTCGGAGTTTCGTTACCACGTGTGTAGCAATAACGTTCAATGTCTAATGATCATGGACATGGAAAAAGAGCATGGTTGGATCGACATGGACTGAGATACATGCCTGAACAAGTGTCGTAGAACTAAATCGAATTTCCGGTTATCGTAATTTAATATCCCACTTAAAAGTCGCACTTTCGATACGTTCCACGTCTAATCCGAGTCTTCACAGATTTCCCACTCAGTATCCGTAATTTCGAGGAAATCGGAATGGACTTTCTATGCTGGTATCCTGTCTGATTATGTTTAAACGCGTGTAATCGAATCTGTCCGGTTCATGGAAATGATAGGATCTTTCATACACCGCCGAAACGATCTGTTTGACGCATTCATATTTCCGATTGATTCAACCGATCTTTCTTATCGCACACACGTCTATACACACGTACGACTCGTAACCCTTTCTCTTTGCAGGCGAGAGAAAAATGATCAGCCCGATCAGCAGGGAAGTCGACCGCGGCGGAGGCGCGACGACAGGTCCGAGGCAAGGCCAGCAGCAACGGACGCGGGACTGCAACGAGCTGCTGCATAAAAGGGTGAGCGAGCGACGACGACGGGTCGCCTTAACGTCGCGCGCGAAAGAGCACCCGTCGATTCGATTGGCATGGCGGAGCATGATGGATGAAGTGAGAAAATTCGCGCGTCACATCGATCGTGCAACCGTCGCGCGCGCGCGCGCGCGAGAATTAACCACGTAGCGGTGATCGTTCATCGCGAACGGGCGAATTTACGGGCAAAGGCGCGAGCGAAGGATGTGTGTCGTTTCAACAAGCAGCTACGTCGTCGTCGTTGATGATGCACATTCGACGGCTGTTTGATCTCGCGAACGTTCCTCGCTGTTTCGCGACCGACCGATAAGGCGAATTACTAGCGCCCGTGTGCGCTTCTCGAGTTTCTTTTTCGCATCGGGACTGGAATGGAGATCGTTGTGACTCGAGGGAAAAGCCGAGAACGCAACTCCGACACTCGCGGTAACGCCGAATCGACGCGCCGTTATCGAATCCGATCGAGCGGGGAATTCTTTCCGCGCGAAGCTTGCACGATCGCCGTCCCGTCGTTTCGCTGCTTTGTCTAACTGTCTCCTTGTCCTCCTGTCACGCAAACACGCTGTCTGTATTATTGACGGGGCTTGCATCATCACCGTAGCATGTAAATTCCATTAGCTCAATTAATTCAAATGCCACTCCGTGAGAAAAGAGAGAGAGAGAGAGAGAGAGAGAAAGACTCCACAACACCTCCGCACATCACTCACTCACACACGATTCATATTGCGATTCTATGTATACGGGATTGATAACGTTTGCACCAGTGACGTGTATCGCACGCAATAAACGTGAAACACGTCCCGCCTCCCGTCCGACGTTCTCTCTCTCTCAAAGCGAGGAACGATTTCGACGGATAGCTGAGCGCCTCTCACGTGTGTACGCCGATAAAATCGTGTCAACGCGTTCGCGAAATAGATCGTCGTCATTATTACGCCATTAGATAGAGTGGGTCACGATTGTAGGATAAATAAGTGCTAAATGCAACTGGAGAAACGAGCGAAAGTCGAGGGACGCGGCAGTCGAGCGACCGATCGCCGACTCCATCGGTTTGATCGCGCGATCCTATCGAAATAGCCGGTGAATCCAATAATAGAGCTGTGCTATTAGGCTTCGCGCGCGCGACCACCTTTGACTTTTCAACCGTTCCTTCCTTCGGTATGCAACGAACGCGTCGGCCGTAAAATTCTAAGCGCGGCTCGAGCGGAGTTTACAAGTTTGCGCTACAAACAATCCTGTTAGACGGCATTCTTCATGTACGATTTCACCGACTCTCCCGCCGGTAATCGTCGTCGTCGTCGTTGCGGTCGAGTCAGGTCGAATGGAACGTTTTTCGTGCGAGAATTCGAACGGACCCGCCTCGCTCTCTTAACGCGGCCTTATCTCGAGCGCGAGGGGGCAAGAAAGTAACGACTCGAGTGTCGTCGTCCTGGCGCCATTACGTACAATGGCCAGCGACGCGGGGGGCGAGAGCGGCAGGAGCAGGATGAAGGCGGGAGTGAGGGCGGTGGAAAGAGAGATGGAGAGAGAGAGGGAAGGGGAGCGGGACTGAGAGACGCGGGGTCCAGGGTCGATCCTGCATACGGTCAGCACCGGTCAGCAAGGGCACCGTGCCAAGGAACTGCAGACAGGCTTTAAGCTGCGTGCACAACAACGACGTCGCCGTTTGCGCGTGACGGTACTCGGCCTTGTAAATTCGTCTTCGAGTTTCCCCACAACGACACTCCGTCGTGACACAACTAGGTGGTTCCGATGTGGTCGCTCGGAGTTTCCCCAAGTACGGGGACGTCGAGACATGAGAGAGAGTGGCGTCAAACCCTACGTGGAAATGAGTCACCGCGCCTTAAGACCTCGGCTCTCCTTGATATCCAATTTTTACTACCGGCTTAGGCCGGAGGTGTCGTCGAAATTAATTCGCGCCTCGGTTCTTAAGCACTACCCTCCGCCACTTCGCTTATCGTCCTCATCGTGGCGCCCAAAAATAGCGCCCGTTCCTTTGTCGCAGCTGAAATAGTGCTGCACTGAAAAAAAGTGCTACTGTCCAAGTAATATTTACTTTGATCCGAGTAAAGCGGTGACTACTACTTAGCAAATATTTACTAGAAGTAGGAATATAATTGTAGTAAATACTTTCTTCAATTTAGAACTATTTTACACTTACAGATTAAGGTATCACTGCGTTTAAGTAGGTACTTATTATGAGCTATGAAAATATGCTGAAATCGATAAAAAATATAACTCGATGTGAGAAGCTGAAAAACAAGCGATTACGTTTACTTCGTTCTAGCAATTTTTTTTCTGCGTGAAGCCTCGTTCCTTTTTTCCTTCAACGCTAAGTTGCACGCTTGTTTCACTCTCAAAGGCAAAAAATGCAATCTAGCATCGGTCGAAACGGGCAAGCTCGACACGATTTCTCGCGAGACTCGGGAAGCCGAAGTTCCAGCGCGCTCGTCGTAACCCGTCGGTAAACCGACACCTCGCCGTCGAGCGCGCCGACCGCGGAATGCCCCCGCGAGGAGGACGCGGCCCGTTAACGCATTTCGTGTCATCGTCCCGTCGACGTGTCGTATCGACGATATAGGCGGACACCCGCGCGAACAAGGGCGCTTCATCACGGCAAGCCGAAGATGAAGAAGTGGAGAAGAAGGTGCCTCGGAACTTTTGTCGGCGAGCATACCCGCGTGTGGTCGCGAGGGCCGACCGGGCCCCTCGGGGGCAAAAGGTACAAAACGCGCGAGCCGGTCGGCCGAACGAGCGCGAGGGAGCGAGCGGGCAGGCCGAGCCGGGCACGACGCCAGTCTGCCCCAAGTCCTTCCCTGGTACTCCCGCGTCGTTCAGCGCTCGTCGGTGCGCCAAGTTCCGTGAGCGGAAGCAGCCTCGCTCACCCTCTGGATTTCTGGATCTCGCCGGCAGGAACCGTCTTCGTCGGTCACCGAACGTCCCCCTGCAAATCGGTGGATCGCGCGAGGCGGACGAGAGGACTCGGAAACAGGTACGGGAGACGCCCGAGACGCGCGGGGGTGAAGTTAAGCTGATGAATTTGGAACGTAGGAACCCGGAAAGTGAGTCACGGTTCTCGTTCGTGCACACCGGCCACGTAAGACCGCTAAATGCGAACACGCTTGTGAATACTAAATAGGGCTTTCTTTTGTTGAATCAAGAATACCGAGCTTTCTTTGTGTCGCGTTGTTAAGGGAAGTGCCGAGTGGATTTGCCGCGCGTCGCCGTCACAGAGCGTTGGAACGCGTTGTGTAAGGCGAAATGCGATTTGCGGCCCGTAATCCACAATTGCGAGGTGTATTCGGCGATCGCGCGCGAAAGCACGAAAACAGGGACGACTCGCGACCGACGCGAAGCCGTCGGTGGGACGTGCCAACGTCGTAACGTAAATTTCAAGTTTCCCGGCTCTTCTCGCGAGAGGAGTTTCGATATTTCTCTCTGCCGATGAACGAGCTTTGGCTCACAAATGTGAGCGCGCCTTTCTTCTTCGCTTCGCGTCGTCGTGCTTCGCACGAGAGAAAGAGAGATAAGAATTCGCGATCGTTTCTTCGCGACGAGGGAACGATCTCGCAGGAATATGCGACGCGAAGAACGATGCATCGACATCGAGGTCGCCCCGGCGCAAAGATATCGTTGACGATCGACAGAAATTTGGTGTGGAACGCGAAGATCGAGTGAGTCAGCCGGCTACCTTTTGGGACCTGTCCGTCGAAATAAAGACGCAGCAGAGAGCGCATCCACGATCGATTCCGGTTCCCTCGGACGTGGTACATCGTTCATCAGACGAGATCCAACGCGAGATCTCTCTCTCTTTGCAGCGTTCGCGCGCGACTCGTGCACCGGAAAAAAATCTGCTAGAATCGAGTCCATGTAATTACCTGTTTTTCAACTTCTTAAATCAAATGATATTTTTGTCAATTTTTAAATATATTTTACGTAACAGCTTGCGGTAAATACTTCCTTGAACGCAGTAATGTCTTAAGAACGTATCGCCCAGTTAGTACCGTATTTTCAGTGGCGCATCAAGGGGGCCACTCATAAATTTAATATTTACCAAGCAAAATTACGTTCCTACACATTCATTTCGTCTTATTTTACCTAAATAATAAATATTAATTTGAAACGATTTGAAATTGAGGTAAACATATATACACGATATTACAAATACGAAGATATTATTTTTCATCTCTCTTAATAATATTATATTTATGCATCGGTTGATCTTATAGAAATGCACAGATAATAAAAAGAGGTACATAAATGTTTAAATATGTGCATCCCGAAATTTGTGTATAACGTTTGCACGTTATAATCTTTAGTATCGCAGCAGTTTTTCATTAAAATCTTATTTCTAATTTAGGAGACATTCAAGATAGAAATTAAAAATATCACGCTAATCTTAAACTTCAATTTTTCTATCTGGCAAATCTTTTCCAGAGATAAATCTTGATATTCTCAATATTACGAATTTAATAACACAAATAATATTATTTAATAACACAATTATTCAACACACACAATGTCTATTTGTACGAAGGAAATATTATATTGCATACAGTCAATTACATTTCCACTTGTAGTAAATATTTGCCAAGGAGTATTGCAGTAACCATTTTACTTGGATCAAGTAAATATTACTTGAGCTGTAGCATTTTTCTTTCAGTGTGTGTGCGTATGTGTGTATGTGTATGCATGTGTGCATTCGTGCTTGTACACATCAATGTATCGGTGAGAATTTTTGCACGATCTCCTCCTCCGGCGGCAGGAGAATCTTGTATTAGAAAATTGGAAAGTAATAGAAAACTCCAGCAGACCGTGTTCTCTCGATTCTTCGTGACCTTTAAGAACCCCTACAACGGCGCACCGTCAAGAACGCGACCGCTCGAGTCAATTTCCCCGATGTTTCCCGACTTGTTTCTTCTGGACCATGACGTACGTGCAAGTAAATACGGCATCGTGGTTCCGAAAGTGGTTATCTTCGTGAAGCACGAAAAACACGCCTCGGAGGAAAAAGGGGGGGGGGAGGAGGAAAGTGGTAGTAACGTTAAATGACCGCGGAGACGCGGGTATCTTCGCGATATAACTCGGAGCTCGCGTGATTCCCGCTTATAGGGACGTTATTTTCGTGCGATCTGAAATACTCTGTGATCTTATTGATCAGCGACGAGACGGTGGCGTATAAATAACGCCGTCTAACGTGAAGTAACGCCGACCGAACGAGCGCTTATCCCGCGGATTGATAGCTCATCATATCATACAATCGTCCGCGTAATTCCCCTCACGCCGCGAATAACAAACGAATTGTTTCCACCGGCGATTGTTACACGCCCCCCCCCCCCCCCCCC